ACATCTATTAGGACCACGTGTGTTCAAAACCCATTTCCTCTTCCCAACATTTCCTTTTATTTCCACGTACATGTAGGTACATGTCCTTCTCTTTTTAAGCGTAAAAAAGGCGTAGCACTTCATAGGTCCTCAGTGATCCTTTTGAAGAACTTTTCAAACAGTGACTCAGCAGACACACCAGTCGGTTCTCTAAACTCTTTGAGATCCTCTGTACCAGGCAGTAAAAAAGTAAATGTTAAACGTGTGTGCTACTACGGAGTCTCTGAGGGAGCGTGAACAAAAAACTGTGCTCTTTTGGCAAGATCCTGCAAATGTTACGTAATGCTACAGTAATGCTGTTTCTTTTCCCGTCCCCTTTGGACTCTACTGGTTCTGTGGAAATGTACATGAACTAATTAAAATATGTTTAATTTCACTGTGGTAGAAAAAGGCAGAAAATGTCGTGCATCAAACTCTGCAGAACAATCAGGGATGACTTTACTTTACTGATTTAAGTTCAGCAGTTATTCCATTATTACATCAGGATGTATTTCATGTACAGTATATTGAGAGCAGTACTGGTATACCATCAGGTATAGTTATTACCTTGTTATTTTTTGTTTGTTTTTGCATCTATTGCTGTTATATACTGCCACCTGCTGGAGTGTGAAAAAATATATGCAGTAGACTAGTATGAAAAGAAAATGAGTATAGTATAAAGTATGAATGTTTCCAAGTATAATGACAGTCAGTTTGGAACAAGCTGCAGGACCTGGGCTTCGGTTCTGGTCGTCCACAAACATTGTTGTGGGGAGTGTGGGGTTGTAAATAATATAACCTAAGGAAATGCCAGCTTAGGAATGCATGAGGCTAATGCTCTATTTGTGTGATGGAAATGTATTTGCATGTGGACGCATGTAGTTTGTCTCTGTGAACTTGAACCGCATGAAGAAATTGACCATGTAAATTCAAGGTCGTCCTCTCTCTGTTGTCTGCTTAGGTCTAATTCCATATCATATTTGCAGAGACAATCACCAACGGAAGTCCTGTTCACAGAATAATAAGAACTTACAGTAATTGAAAATTTATTCAGACCCTTACATAACATTGAGCAAACTTGGGCCCGTCAGACAAAGCCAGGTCTCATTCATCTGAAATGAGAAGTCTGAGTAGACGTAGAGTTTGTTTGTACTTGACTGGCCTGCATGCAGTCCAGGAGTTGGACGACAATGAGTTAGATTTTTTTAATGAAGCAAAAAAAACCCAAAAAAAAACAACAACCTAAAACCATTAGTTTTAAAGGTGTAATAAGAAGGAAGGAGGATGTGACCCAGTTTTTAGCTCATCTCTCTCCCGACATTTATTCATTTCCAAATAGTTTATGTTTAACAAAAACAATAAAGTGGGTCAGCTGCAACACTGGAAGTACTTCCTTTGTTGTTTTTTTTCTTCCTGTAAGACAAATGTTCCAGTAAGGCACTAAATTACAGACTTTGGTTGTTTTTTTATAATATATATTTTTAGAAAGCAAATCAACTTTTCTGGATTCGAAGCTCGTATTATTCTTTCATAAACTGTTTCCTTCACCTGGGTAATTCCTCCTCCTGAGACCACCAGGGTCAACATTCACTGCAGGCACAGTAACTAAGCAACGAGGCTGCATTTGGGGTTCATTCCAGACAATAAGTCCAGGGCAGACCTGTGTGTCTGGAGCAGTGTATTTGCAAATGCTGCCTTGATTACCGTTGTACGTTCTGCTGTTTTACATCCTCCGGGCGACGTCCGAGTTTTTCATGGGACAAACAGAAAACGTCTTCATCTAATACCAGACTTAGACCCCAATCAGAACTTACTTAACCCTGTATTTGTCTTCCTCTGTATGGATGATTCTTGTTACATCATCGTGGTTACAAATGTCTGCCCCTTGCTGCAAATAAAGTCAGCTAAATAATTTAATATAATTCAGATGTTCTGTTTGAGTTTATAATAAAACATGACTAATGTTGCATCTAATTTGGAAACTATAGGAAGTGAAAGTTAAATCCCTTTTTTTCATTTTTCTTTTTTTTTCTTGGTGGAAAGATCAGTTCTTCATGATGTGTCTCAAACTGTTTGATTCATCAGCTATAAAGATTACAGATTAATTTCTGCTGCTTAAAATGACAATTTTCTAATACTCTTCATGTTGGGAATAAATACTTCCCAACCTTAGAAAGAATGACTAGAACTGCAGAGGAAAACTTTCCACACGTGATCTGAGCAAAATACAAGGTCAACCTCTGCTAAAAAACAAAAATCAAAAAAGTGTACGAAAAAGTTACAACAACAAAAAAAAGACAAAATAAAAAACATCAGATATAGACAAGTATTTGAAGAAAACAGGACTTTTCTGTCTCGTTCTTTGGTTCCTGTTCTTGAATCGGTGTTCCACCTCAGCATAAATCAGTTGTTTTCATAAATATATTTAACCTTCTGTCTAATATTTGTGGAGCCACGTGGAACATTCCTGCAGGGAGGCTAATTACGTCCTTCAGAGGCCGGCTTTTATTGGGATTTGTGTGGTATCAGTGGAACAACTGTGTGCAGTGAAGTTACCAAATACTGCAAAGGCCATTTCTGACTAATGTTTACAAAAGTCCTCCAGTGGGATTGGGACTGGGGATTACTGCTGTGTGTTTTTAGGATGGAGTGTGTGTGTCCTAACTTTTACCAAAATAGAAGGAATTCTTTATATCTGATCGACTTATCAGAAACTCATTGAAACTCTGGGGCCAGGTTGTGGTCGACAGTCACTTATTAAACTCAAATTTATTCAGCCGATTCAAATAACATGGGTTTAAATAAAAAAAAAATATTAGAAGTCACCGACCGGCAGAAACACAGCAACATAAATCTGGATCCCAAGTCTCCTAATGAAAAAGACATGGCTGCTGAAATCACACAGAATAACTGATAACGTCAGATATATTTTTTCCTTTTTTCTTTTTGACACAAATATACATGACACGTCCTGGAATGCTAAATAATGCAGGATTCTCTACATTGGCCTAGCTGGCATGAAAAGAGAGCCCTGCTGTTTTTTATTGAGGGAAAATAATAAAACTAGCTAATTGACATGCGTTTTTCATGCTGTGCTAAATGAATAATTTATTTAGGTGAGGAGCAGGAAGGGTCTGGAGGACTGAGCTTCCCTGTAGGGAAGGGACTGTATTAATCGGAGACCGATGACGGTGTGTTCAACATGGAAAAATCATGCAGCAACATGCTGGGAAATGTTATTTTTGGTATTGGACAAAAAGAACGTTGAGATGCAGGATTATGGATTTTTCTTTTAACCAATACTGGTTGTTATTGATACATTACAATAACCACAATATGTTCATACAACCTGTTGTTTGTGTTGATCTGTTGTAGGTTTATTAATGTTGTTGTTTTATATTCCAGTGTCCTGTCTTCAAGGCCAGTGTTTTGGATGTAAATCTTCTTTTTGTGCTTTTGCTGTTAAATGTAAACTTTTCAGGTGTTCAGCTCAGTGACCCTCGTGTCCTGTTTTGTTGTTAATTACCACGCTGACAGCACCAATTACCTTTAATGGCTCTTCCCTCTTTAGAAGAGATTGCGCAAACTGTTTGGCGCAATTGTTTCCCAGCCCATCAAGCATTTTGAGTTGCCATCTGTGCATAAATGATGGTCGTGATGTGCTCCCGTCGTGCTACGACACACTCTCCTGTTGTTTACGACTTTCTTCTCCACGTGAGATGTGAAATTATTTACAGAGTACAATTCCTCAGTCGAATCCATTCATGCTTTCATGTACAGCGGACAGTGTAGAACCGTGGAAACAAAGCTTTGACAACCATCTGCTTGTTGCCGCCTGACAGGGGCTGGTCAGACATCATAGTGTACTTAGCGCCACCTTTAGGTCATGCTTGATACTGAGACATATGAACTATCACAACAATTACCGTACTTTCTGAGTCGTGCAACTTTTATTCTGCAGTGATTTAAAAAAATATACCTGATATCGGAAAGGGCCACAAGAGGGCACCACCTTGGATTCAGTGATGCGGAATTAGACTGAAAACTTGTTGAACCTGTTAGCCTGTTAAGTCTAGGTTCATTAGGTTGTTGTGTAAATGACTAGCCTTCCCTGATTCAGTCT